GTCACGAGGCCCTGGGTTTGAGGTCAAGGAGTCCCCTTCAAGTTGTAGTGGAATGAAGTTGCAGCTGTTGAAATGAAAGCTGGTTTGCTCAAGACGCTTCGTTTCTGGCCCAAAAGGCAGGATGCAGGCCAGGAAGAGGCCACCCAGAACTAGGAGTCGTGTGCTGGCAGACACAGGAGTTGCAATGAAGAGTCTCAGCTTTGTCAGATCAGTTCTGAACACCTCCTGCCAGTCATGGGCTGGGAGGTCTGCTTCCCAGAGGCTGCTGTCAGGACAGGTGCCTCCCAAGGAGCCCTCAACAGCCCCCTCTTCCTGTGAATGCGGGGGTGGTGGTTAGAGACTGAGGAGGTCCCCTCAGGCTGCTCTTGCCACTTACTGGAGGATCAGCCTGGCAGGAGCCATAATTCTTGGGCTGATTCTCTTTCCTCTGACCTCGGGGCCGGCTTCACTTTTCCAGGCTTCAGTTTCTTCATCTGGGAAGTGGGCCCGCACAACTCCTACACCTCACAAGGCTGCTGTGAGTGTTAAAAGTAGATCAAACACTTAAAACGCACACCCAGGGGTTCCTGGGTGGCTCAGTCGGTTTAGCGTCTACCTTTGGCTGAGAGCATGATCTCAGGGTCCTAGATGGAGCTCCGGGTAGGGCTCCTTGCTCAGCGGGAAGTGTGCTTCTCTCTCTCTCAAATAAATAAATAAATAAAATCCTAAAAAAAAATAATAGCACACCTGACACTATGAAAGCAACTACAAATGAGTTTTCCATTTTTACCGTCATGGTTTATACTTTCATAAGAGCCATACAGTGTAGGGCATTCTTTATTTCTGGTTGTATGAGGTCCTGAGGACCGTAAGCGTTTATCTGTTGAATGAATGAAAACAGTTTTATTTGGATTCGCATGTTTCTTTCCGCAGGATGACCCAGGCCACTGGAGGCGGCTGCTTTCTCAGGCTGCGCGTATGCTCCCAAACCCGCGATTCCTGAGGCTTTTCTGCGCGCGCGGGGATTCGCACAGCTTGCGGCTCGTCCTCATTTTCACCCGCACCGTCCAGGAAAGCGAGGCTTGGGCAAGTCCCGACGCGCGGCAGGTCAGCCTAGGGCGGGCCGAGGCTCCACGCACAGGCTCCGGCCCTCGCCCGTCAGGGCGGCCCCTGCGTCGCCAGTCCCCTCCTGCTCCGATACTCGTCCCGCGGGCCTACCCCAGGGGGTCCGCAGCTCCTTCTGCACACCCCTTCCCCGACCCGGTAAATTCTCTCCGCTAGAGTCTGGATAAGGTAACAGGGGATGCCCCGCGGCCCGGATCCTCTCCCTCCGTCCTCCCTTCCTAGTCTTCCCAGGGACCCCGGCGGGGCGTGCGGAGGGGGAGTGCCGAACAGCGGCCGGGCGTGACTGCGTCCGGGTCTCGGGCCACCCGGCACAGGCGCCAGCGGGGGTCCCCCGCCCGCCTCACGCCCACGTGGCCGGCCCGGCCTCCCCGCCCCCGGCCCCGCCCCGCCCGGGGGAGCCGCCCCCGAGCAGCCGCCGCCACGGCCGTCTCCGCGGTGCGCTCTCCAGCCCAGCCGGGCCGAGCCAGCGCTGCGCGCCGAGGTGAGTGAGGGAGGCTGGCCGGGAACCCCGCCCCCACTAGACCCTCCCCGGCTGGACGGTCCCGCTAGACGCCCTGGGGCCCGGCACTTTCCGGGGGGCTGGCTTCTTCCCTGCCTTAACCTACTACCCCGAGCTGGACCCCTACCCCCACCTCCAGGTCGCCTCCGCCCGTCCCGGTGCCCGAAGCAGGCTCTGCGCGCTCTCCGGCCCCGGGCACTCGGAGCGCACTTGGGCTCCTGGGCGCCACGCAGGTGGGTAGTGCCACCACCGCTCGCGCCGGAGACCCTGACTTTGGTCCCTGGGAGCTCTTAAGCGAAAGTTCCCGGAGCCACTTCCGGGGAGGGAGGCGCCACCTGTCCTCTCCCTCGGTGTCTTTTCCAGCCTTGGTGGGGCGCCCGCAGGTCAGCGTCGCGTCGGGAGCTGCTGGTAGTGGCTCGCAGGGCTGCCGGTCACTTCGCTGCGAGGAGCCGGGCTTGGAGCGCGCAGGGCGGCGGCCGTGGTTCCGGGCCCGCCCGGGGCCCTTGTGCTGGCGGCTGCATCTTTTAAATTGCGCGGCCAGAGGATCTTGAGATAGAGGCGAGGGAGGCAGACACCAGGGGGTTAGGGTGAATCTCGGTGCCTCAAAGCCAGAGACCTGTGAGCATTTTCTGAGTGTGGAAGTTGACCGAGCCGGGTGGAAATGGGTTCCTTTGGGCTTTGGGAAGAGCAGCGCTTGCACGCTCAGCCTCATCATGGACTTGAACGTTGCTGAAACAGAGCGACTTGTTCCTAGAGGACTCTTTCTCCATTTAATGCCCGAACCAGGCTTGCTTCCAGCACTGGGCAGAGATGTGAGAACTGCCAAACAGTAGTTGTCCTGGATGCACCGGCAGAAACTTATTTTAAAGCATTTCATGCGCAACACAAGGTATAACCGCCTTCTTTCTTGGCTGGGGTGTGGAAGAGGAGAGCTTTTCTGTGAATTTGTCATAGCTGTAGAGTCTCAGGCAAGTTACTTCACCCATCTCTGCCTCAGTTTTTTTCAGCTGTAAAATGGGGGTGATAACAGTACAAATCCTAAAGGGTTGTGTAAGGTTAAAGTTCTTAAAATTGTGCCTGATACAGGCTAAGTTTTACTTATGTTGTTCTTGTTATTTTTTATGGCTGACATCTGTCTAACAGGGCATCTGCGTGCCTAGCTCCCTAGTGAGGTGGGTATGGGCAGACTCTTGCTCCTTCCTTTGCTGAGAACCCAAATTATTCACACAGTGGTGTCCCCTTCAGTGCTGAAACACTTGGGCTTTGCAGTAATGTTTCCTGTGGTTAAGCAGCGTTTTGCAAAATGTATCTCAGAATAGGGGATTAGAGATGACCTTTGTCAAGGACACTGCTGGGAAATGGGGGTCTCAAACCTTCTCTGGAAGCTCTAGGGTGTGACTGGATATTTGCCTCACTGAGGGGGAGTGGATAAATTTCCACTTGAATTCCTTCAGGCCTTGGGTCCCCTGATAGGCTGACAACCCTGATCTCTGTGAGTGTGGGAGTGTAGTTAGGGGCCCAAAGACCTGATGTTGTCCCCTCCCCTCCATTCACTCACCTCCAGGAGATTGTCCCCCGCATCAGTGGAGCCTGCACCAGTTTAGCTTCTTTCTTTTCGTGTTAGGCCCACAGACAGGAGTTCTGATTCAGGAGACTCCAGAAATCTCCTGAACTGTATATGAGATTGGAAACGTGGATGAGATATGCTTGGAGCACAGGTGTATATTTTTCCAGAGCGTTCCCTTTTCATCATATTCTGCAAAGGGCCTGCGCCCCACAAAAGGGGACTCTGAGCTGCTGGTGGGGATATTCTTACCCCTTGCACAGGAGCAGGCCCAAGTTGTCAACATTACCTCTGTCTCCCAGAGGTGAAAGTGCACTCGTGATGCTTTGTACCCTTGCTCAGGGCACACCTTCCAGTGGAAAATTCAGGTCTGCCTTAACTTGAGAAAATCCGATAAAGAAGTCAACTGGAGAAAGGAGAAGGCAAGCTGAGGGAGTAGGGGCTCCTGGCCTGTGGTGAGGCCATTAGGTTGGGATACAGTTCATGAAAATTGGAGCTCAGATTGTCAGGAGACTCCTCAGAGTCTTTGCATATGCTCTTCCTTCTGCTGAGCACACTTTTCTGCCACTTCTTCTCAGGTCTGGCATGATCTTTAGCTTGGATGTCTCTTCTGTAGAGAAGATTCTCCTGACCACTCTGTCCAAAGCAGCCTGTCCCCCTATGGGTACCTGTCACATTCTCCTGTAGTATTTTATTCATGGAGCTTACCTGAAATGGTCATACTCATGTATCTATTTATGGGTTTATTGTCTACATCCACCCAGGAGAATGTAGACTTCAAGAGGGTAGAGGTGTTGCCCTCTTTACCACTGAATTCTGGCCCCTTGCACACAGTAGTTGCTCAATAAATGTTCCTTAGTGACAGAATGAATGAGCATCCACTGAGTAAAGTGTGGTGAGCTGAAGAACTTTTTTTTTCTCCTTAAGTAAGCTCTATGGCCAACATGGGGCTCAGACTCACAACCCTGAGATGAAGAGTCACATGCTCTACTGACTGAGCCAGCCAGGTGCCCTGGCCCTAGATAGATTTAAAAAAAAAATTAATCCTTGGATGCATTATCTTAATGGTTTGTACAAATATTGTCTGATTCAGATTACTTTGCACAGGTTGAGCAGGTTGAAACGAGTGAAAATGAAATGCTTTTATATACGATTCTGATTAATTGAGTCAGTTCACATTGCTACACGGGAGATCCCCTGTGTGGTGGATGGAGTGGGGTCTGCTGTGGAGAGGTCTGGAGATAAGCTTTGCCTTCTTCTTCACTTTAGTGAACGTTGTTCATTCAGTTATGAAAATGGGTATACTTTTTCTTTAAAGAAAGGAGGAAGATTATAGTTATTTGGAGTCGTATCTCCACATGTGCCTTAGCCCCTTAGCTCAGCCCTGTTACTCCATTTATTCTAGAATCACTTATGGAGGGAGGGCTCTGACACTGGCCACAGAGCAGTCAAGGAGACCAGCAGTGTTCCTCCCTTGTGGTATTTACATCCCAGTGGCAGAGATGGACAGTTGACAACTCGATCTATAATACGGTATCAGAGAGTGTGGTCAGTGCAACAAAGAAGATGGAGCTGGGGAGGGGGATCCCGAGTGACTGCAGTGGAGGCAGCATTGGTTTAAGTCAGGGATGGTTTCTCTGAGGAAGCAGCATTCAAGCAGAAACCTAGACGAATGACGGATGTGGATATCTGGGGGAAGATAGTTCCGTGCATGTGGACCCCAGGGTTGTGGTTGAATTCCTTTTGAGCCCTGGACATGGTCTGTCTCTCTGGGGAAGGGGGAGGGGAAGTGAGGCAGTGTGGGCAGAACCTCCCTCACCTCCTCTGCAGATCCTAGCACGTGGCTGGTGTAAGCTCTCGGCACTGTGTGCTCTCGTGGTTGACCAGGAGGCTAATGCCTTCCTTTCCAGCGGGACCTGGAGTGATGATGTTTCCTGAAACTGCCACCTGGGCGATGAGTATGAGCCTCGGGGCACTGCCGGAAGTATAACTCTACACATAGTAAGACTGGCCTCACCTCACCTGTTCTGGCCATGGGCCCCCTCCTCTTTTGTGTCATTTGGTTACAAGCACCTCATCACCTAGAGGAAACCACCTAGAGGGAAGGTAGTTACTTAGTGAAGCTTTGATGGGAAAAAATGAAGTGATGAAAACGTATAGGATCGTGGGCTGGGAGATGCATGCTTCCCATTCTCTCCGTTGAGTGGTTGATTTTTTGATCATTTGACGTTACTTAACGAAGCATGAAAGAGGTATGACAGGGAGGCTTCTTGGAAAAAGCGACATCTAAGAAAAGAAAGGGATGGCTACAAGTCACTTCTATTGAGAAGGTGGGGTGGGATGGAAGGAAGAGAGAACAGCATGTGCAAAGGTCCAGATGAAGAGTTACCAGTTCTCAAATGATGTCAGAGTCTCATCGGTTATAGCTGTGTGTGTGTGTGTGTGTGTGTGTGTGTGTGTGTGTGTGTGTACGCATGCATGGAGTATTCTGTGGAAAAGGAACTGACGTAGCAGCCCTCAGTAAATGCCAGTTGATCTGAATGGCTATGCCTTGTGCTACTGGGCTCTGCACTGGCATCCTCATAGATCAGCTAGAACTGTCCTATGGCACAGGTCTTCTCAGTATCCCCATCTTTCTGACCAAGAAAAGTGAGGTGGGAAGTGGTGAATAACCTGCCAACTGTGTCTTTCTGGAGCTCTGTTCAGTTGTATCAGGGGAGGTCAAGGGGAGGGGGATCTTCCAGAAGATTGAGTCAGTGATGTCAAGAGAATTGGGTGCTTTTAACTATCTCCGACAGGCCTTGCTTTGGTGTACGGCCCCTGCAGAATGTGAGCCCTGGGAGGGCAGGGGCTGCCCCCCACCGACTGCTCAGTCCCTGGCACAGGGAGGATTTGTTGGGGGTTAAGCTGATGCTCCAGGGTCTCTGGTGGCCACGGAACAACAAGGCGGGAGGAGGCCATTGCCTTCTTTCCCCGGGTGTCTCCTGACTCTTCCAGGGTGGACCCGAGAGTCAGGGCCGAGCTGGACATGGGGCCCAGGTCAAAACCGAATGCTCCAATAAGAGAGGCTGGGGACCTTAGCCAGAGCTGAAGGACCAAGCAGGCAGTCTGGTGCCTTGCCTGGCTCATCTAGCTCAAGACCAAACTAGTTATTTAACGGCCCAAGTTAGTTATTTGTCCCGACACCCGACCTCCACTTCCAACCAGCATATGATAACTTTATGGGTCGGGATTTGTTGCTCCTGTGAATAGAACCCCAAGCCCTGAATTCATCTTCCATTCTGAGCTTAATATTTTCCTAGAAGCTGGGGTGGTGATCCAGTGCAGTGGCTGGCTTTAAGGCAAACTGATATGTCTGGAGGGTAGAAGTGCTGGCTGGGCTCCCGTGTTCCAGTCTCAGCTCCAGCATTGAGTTACTAGTGGAGTGACCTTTGGCAAAGTGCCTAACCTCTCCAAGCCTCAGTTTTCCTATCTGTACATGGGGACTGTGCTTGACTGGACCTTATGGGTTTGCTGTGAAGGTTAATGCACAGAGAGCATACCCCTGTCACAGCCCCTGTGCAGGAAGGGATGGCTGTGGTCATTATCTGGTGATCTAAAATGGACACAGGTCACTCTGTCACTGCATTTTGCTCAGAAAGGTTTGCTCAAACACACTGGGAGTTCTCCATTCGGATTTGGAGACTTCACCAGGGGCTGGTGCTATGCTTTTTGGAAACGATTGTATTCTGAGCCAAATCTAGATAATGGAGTTGAGGGCAAGTTTATTGTGAGACAGATGCCAGGTGGGAAATGGCATGAGACTCTTTGCCCACCGTGGTCCACCCTCCTGTCCCACGGCCTCTTCCAGGCCTCTCCCGCTACAGTGGGGGCCTCCATGTCCCCATGGCCCTCAGAACCTGGCCACTTTGGTGGACTGTTTTGGTTCATCTTCCCCACACCCCATCCCAGGTCCCCTGCTGGACCCTCCAATGCAGCTGAACCCAACAGCCCCCCAAATGCCCCAGAGGATTTTCCACCTTCGCAGCTTTGCACCTGCTGTTCCTACTACTTGGAATACTCTTTTTCTCCTTGCCGAACCTCCCACACTCCCCAACTCCAGTGGCCTCTTCTGTCTTTCCTTCCCTTTTGTCTAGAAAAAGAAATGCTCCTTTGCACAAGAAACCTGGTTATATTCTTCATGTACACAAATGCAAACAAATCAGAAGTTGTGGAGTAAAAAATGAACTTCCTCCTCCCACATCCCTGGCTTGCTTCTAGAGAGAACATTTATGATCAGTTGGCTGTATATTTCTCTTCTGTTTTGATGTACAGGTGTGTGTACCTGTGAATATCTTTAAAAACCAACAGAATGGGCTCATTTTTAAAAATTTTTAAAGATTTTATTTATTTTAGAGAGAGAGAGAGGAGGGCCGGGGAAAGGGAGAGGGAGATAATCTCCAGCAGACTCTGCGCTGAATGCGGAGCCCCATGTGGGGCTTGATCTCATGACCCTGAGATCATGACCTAAGCCAAAACCAAGAGTCAGATGCCCAACCAACTGAGCCACCCAGGCACCTCTAATGGGCTCGTTTTATATGTATTGTTCTCTAGTGAATTTTTCCTCATTTAGCTATATGTCCAAGAGTGCTTTCTCTGTCTATATGCATCTCCCCTCTTTTTATACCCTCACCTCCCCCAAGGGAGGAGAGTACAAGTTTGTGTGGACGTGTATTTTCAGTTCTATCTCTCTTTCTGCAGTGGGATTGCAGGTTATATGGTGACTCTATGTCTAACATTTTGGAGAACTGCCATACTGTTTTCCAAAGTGGCAGCGCCATTTTGCAATCCCGCCAGTAGTGTTTGAAGGTTTTGATGACTCCACATCCTCACCAACGCTTGTTACTGCCCATCTTGTTTTTACTATTGCCATTCTAGTGCGTGTGAAGTGGTATCTCATCGTGGTTTTGATTTTCATTTCCCTATGGCTAGTGGTGTTGAACATCATTTTTTTTAACTTAATTTTTTTTAGTGCCGTTTTAGTTTTAGTTTTTCTTTTAATAGTGAAATTGAGAGAAAAGTACAGAGATTCCCTTCATATTTCTGGCTCCCACACGTGCACATCCTCCCCCATTATCAGCATCACTCACCGGAATGGTACATTTGGTACCAAGGATGAACCTACATGGACACATCATGATCATCTGAGGCCCATAGTTTACCTAAGGGTTCACTCTTGGTGTTTTGCCTTCAGTGGATTTGAACAAATGTATAATGATAATTATACACACAATGATAATATCATACAGAGTATTTTCACTGCCCTATGAATCCTCTGTGCTTTCCCTATTCATCTCCACCCTCCTACCCCCCACAACCACTGATCTTTTTACTGTCTCCATGGTTTTGCCTTTTCCAGGATGTCATATAGTTAGGATCATACGGTACGTAGCAATTAGTTTCTTTCACTTAGTAACATGCATTTGAAGTTCCTCTGTGTCTTTTCATAGCTTGATAGCTCATTTCTTTTTAGTTCTGAGTAGTATTCCATTGTCTGGATGTTCCACAGTTTATCCGTTCACCTACTAAAGACCATTTTGGTTGCTTCTAAGTTTTGGCGGTTATGAATAAAGCTGCTATAGACATCCATGTGTAGGTTTTTGTGTGGACATAAGTTTTCAGCTACTTAGGGTAAATACCAAGGAGTGTGATTGCTGGATTGTGTGGTAAGAGTATGTTTAGTTTTGTTAGAAACCCACCAAACTATCTTCCAAAGTGACTAAAGCATTTTGCATTCCCACCAGCAACAAATGAGAGAGTTTGTGTTACTTTACATCCTTTTCCAGCATTTGGTATTGTCAGTGTTGTGGATTTTGGCCATACTAATAGGCATGGGGTGGTATCCTATGGCTTTAATTTGCATTTCCCTGATGACATATAATGTGGAGAATCTTTTCATATGTTTTTCTTGTCCTCTATATATCTTCTCTGGTGAGGTGTCTGTTAAGGTCTTTGGCCCATTTCCAATTCAGGTTGTTTTCCTATTGTTGAGTTTTAAGAGCTCTTTGTATGTTTTGGATAACAGTTCTTTATCAGATGTATCTTTTGCAAATATTTTTTCTAGTCTGTGGTTTGTCTTCTAATTCTCTTGGAATTATCTATTGCAGAGCAGAACTTTTCAATTTTAGTGAAGTCCAGCTTATCAATGATTTCTTTCATAGATTGTGTTTTTGGTGTTATATCTAAAAAGGCATCACTATACCCAAGGTTATCTAGATTTTTCTCTATGTTTATCTTCTAGGGGTTTTATAGTTTTGCATTTTATATTTAGGTCTCTGATCCATTTTAGGTTAATTTTTGTGAAGAGTGTCAGATCTGTGTTTAGCTTCATTATTTTGCATGTGGATATTCAGTTGTTCGAGCCCATTTGTTGAAAAGATTTTCTTTGCTCCATTGTTTTGCCTTTGCTCCTTTGTCAGAGATCAGTTGACTACATATATGGGGGTCCATTTCTGGGCTCTCTGTTTTTTTCCCTTGATCTGTTTGTCTCTTATTTTGCTAATAAGTCTTGAAGTCTGGTAGCGGCAGTCCTCCAACTTGTTCTTCTTTAATATTGTGTTGGTTGAATATCTTTTCATGTGCTTTTTGGCCATTTGTATATCTTCTTTGGAGACGTGTCTTTTCAGATCTTTTGCCAATTTTTTAAAAATTGGGTTCTCTTTTTATTATTGATTTGTAATTGTATATTCTAGATTCAGTCCCTTATCAGATACGTGATTTTCAAATATTTCCTCCTATTCTATGGGTTGTCTCTTCATTTTCTTGGTTGTATTCTTTGAAGCCCAGGATTTAAGTGTGATGGAGTCCAATTTATCTATTTTTCTTATGTTGCTTGTGCTTTTGGTGTCATACTTAAGAAATGTTTGCCTAATCCAAGTTCATGAAGATTTATGCCTTAATTTTCTTCTAAGAGTTTTATAGTTTTTAGTCCTTGAATTTAGGCCTTTGATCCATTTTGGGTTAATTTTTATATGTGGTGTGAGGTAGAGGTACAAATTCATTCTTTTGCATGTGGATATTCTGTTGTCCCAGTTCTGTTTGTTGAAAAGACTATTCTTTCCATTGAATTCTCTTGACAACCTTGTTGAAAATCAACTAGCCATAACGTGCATGTTTATTCCTGCCTCTTAATTCTGTTGCATTGGTCTATATATCTATCTTTATGCCATACTCCTGTCTTGATTACTGTAGCTTTGTAGTAACTTCTGAAATCAAGAAGTGTGAGTCTTCTAACTTTGTCCTTTTTCATGATTATTTTGGCTTTTTGGGTCCCTATATGAACTTTAGGGTCAGCTTGTCAATTTTTTGTGAAAAAGGTAGCTGAGATTTTAATATGGGCTGTGTTGAATTGGAAGGTCAGTGGGGAGTTTTGCTAGCTTAACAATATTAAGTCCAGGTCCCAATGCATCACTCGTTCATTGGTTGGCTGACCCTCAGCATTCTGTCTTTCAGGTTACAAAGACAAAAACCCAGGGACATCAGCATCTCTTTACTTTGTTGAAGAAAGTGATAAGTGTAGGGTAGTGTCTAATCTAAGTCCGGAGACCTTGGATAAAACATTTGACTCCTGAATGTGTGAAATGGGAGTGCCTCTGGCATGGACTGAGCATTATGGCAGACCTGGTTTCTGTTTATCTGAGGGCATGATGGTGATCCCTAGAGATCCTCCCATACTTCCCTGCCTCCATGCTTGAGAATCATGGTGAGAACTGGGGCCCCCCAGAGCCATGGAGGCACCAGGGAGTGGTGGAGGGTATTGGATAAGGCTGCATTTTAACTTGTTTTATCTATTGAGCAGAGGTAGGATTTCATTTAAGGAAAGGGTGCTGCTGCTAAAGCAATTTTAGCCTCCTTCCCCCAAACAGGCATCATGGTTTAAAGAATGGAATAAAAATAAGAAAGGAATACTATCACATATTAGAAGATTAGTTTACACCTCTGCCTGCACTTATGCATTCCAGATGTCATGCTTTGGCACAAGTCCACAATTG